TCATGCATTGATTGCAGTGTGCAACACACTAAACCATGTCCCATCTAAATTGGTTAACAGAACTCCATACGAGTTATGGAAAGACAATAGTCCCAATTTATCTTATATGAAAGATTGGGGCCGTGATGCTTATTTGAAGCGCCTTAAATCGGATAAGTTTGAGACTAAATCCGATAAATACATATTTGTGAGATATTCAAAGGAGAAAATCGAATATAAATTCTATTATCATGAAGAAAGTCTTCGTCTCACGACATATCGTCTTCTTAGAGAAAATGTTTACTCTAGGAGAGGACAGTGGGAGTAAAATAGAATTTTGAAAGAGTTCAAAAGTCCACAGATATAGTTAACCAAGTAGATAAATCTGAGTTAGATCCCATATCTGATATGGGACATACTTTGGATCAGGAAGTAAAGACTCCTGAGTACATGACAGCTCTATGTGAATCTAGTAGGCTCATTCGACCTTCAAGAAGGTGCGAATCATTAATTAGTGATCCAGGATAATGAACCTGCTAGTTGCAACAAAATAAAGTCAAGTGTTGACTTAAAAGAGATAGCAAGAGGCCATGAAACTCGAGATGAAACTCGATGCAAGTGAACAAGGTTTGGACCTTGGTCAAGCCTCCTAATGGAATAAAGCCCATAAGCTTTTGTAAATAGTTTACAAAAGAAAAGGTCAATATGGATATGAATATCCATATATACAAAGCAATGCTAGAAGCAAAAGTTAAATGTTGACCTTGGTGAAATATTTCTCCTGTAGCCTTGCTTAAGTCCATTCGGATTTTGTTTGCAACAGTTGCATATCGTGACTATAGGTTAAGAGAAGTCTCTTGGAGCTGAAATCTTAGATTTGATGAAAAGTCAAAGTGTTTGATTTTATCAAAGTGTTTACAAGAAGATAGTGGGAGCATTTTTCGTATTTCTAAAACGACATCCCTATGATTCAATCGTTGAAATAATGGTTGTTAAAGGATTTATTCATAAACGATATGGGATAAGCAACTTGATCTATAGAGGTAGATCTAGAAGATTGCTTAACTCATCCCAATTTACATAGATCATGTATTAAGGCGATATAATCTCATCAAAGAGATAATACATAGAAATGACGTAAAGAGAAGATCAAATTTCCACATTTAATAATATTGCAGATCTACTGACAAAGAGTTGTTGTAGTATAAACATGATTGTCATGTAGACTTATGATATTTGATACATAAGTGATTGGATCTAGTGCAAGTGGGAGTTTGTAAGTATTATGCCCTAGGTCCAATCAACTTTGGACATAAATACTTTTATATATAATTA